AACCAAAGTTTACTCTTTATTATTTTATCTAGAAACAAAAATACATGTATTATAAAGAAAAAAAAAATAAACAAAACCAGTTTCATAGGTAGAGCAGCCAGCCTTGTTGGTAATAATATTATTTTTCCTTTAATTCAACGTCCGGTCAGAATCAGCTGTCCTACGCCAAGGTCTCAGATCAACGGAGACAGGTCGCAGTAATTAAACAATTTATCACTGCAACCAAGTTACGTTCCCACATTATCTATAAAATACATATAATTGAAGTGTCTGTAAGTTATATCGAAAAAAAAAATCATATTCCGCCAACATGCATAGCTTCTAACGCAAATCAAATTTTATTTAATTTTTAGTCTATCCCTAAATCCGCAGTTGTTTGATACGACGGGACCGAAGATAACTTTTATCCAAAATTATTTTTCTTTTAATTCTCATAGAAGTTAAAAGCATACGCTAGATTGCCAGATAGCGTAAATGTTGCCAGTATGTTCACACCTTTATATCACAACACTTATCTTCTCTAAACATAATTTTGAAGACATATCGCTCCGTATTCGAATTCTGCATGGGTTTTCACTGTCTTAATACATATACAAAAATATTGGCATCTCCATTTTTTCAAGCATTACGAGAGAGATGTCAATATGTTATCGTAATAGTTTGGTCATGGCATAATCTCTAACATCAAATATAAGACAACGATCTCCTGAGATAAGTTGTCAAACACAAATTCATAATATATAATGACAAAAAGTAATTTGAACGTTATTAATTTAATAAATTTATAACTGGCAATCATAATCTAGAAAAGCAATTTGAAACTAAAAAATAATAGCTATTACTTATAATGATATTGCGCTTTTTAAAGCTCAATTTTAAGCGAACGCCGTTGCTCGGGTGTCAATAGAACCCTACGCCCCCATTCACAGTGTATTGAACTGTTTCGATTCAACCAGACGATGGTAAACTAAAACCTTTAGCTTTAAGCTTTATAAATCTTAAACGAAAGAATGTTTTAAAGAAAACAGATTTATACTTTCAAAATATCCATTGTTCATTTTATAACATATCATTCACTATTTACGAAACCTAGATTTTAAGAGACCAAAATCAAAATGTTGGTTTCTGACACCAAAAACGCTGTATAAAAAGTAACGTCATCCAGCGGGACGTCATTATCTTTGACAAAAGTCTCAGAAACCAACGTAAATAAGATAAATTCAAAACATATCAAGTCTAATTTACAAAACGAATATTTTGATTGGTGTTGATAAAAAAGTTTCGATGTTAAAGAAAGGTTCAATTGAAAATTTCCATGGACATAGTAGATCTTAGGATATCAACAGTAATTCTACTAATAAGAAAGCTAACAGCTATATCGAGGCAGGTATCCTCAGTGTTTGTATTTTCATATAATAGTTTTAACTGACTCGTAACTTGGGAACAATGCACTCATTTTACGACATAACTATTGATTTTAACGTTTAGACAAAACACAAGTGAATGCATTTTAGTTCAAAGTTCAAGGCGGGCGTGGTTAATATACATATACGCAACAAGACCGTTTGAAACTTTAGTATCTTATACACACACTACTCCAATCCAAAACCTTAAACCATAGAACTGCTTATTACGTCACAACTCGAAAATCCTAATATATTTGTGATAAAACATTTTTTTTCACATAAACATGTAATATTACTATTTTATTACAATTCACAATTTCCACATCATTTCTAAAAAAAAAGTTAAATATCGTCATGGCCGCAATGTATGGAATTTAACGTTCCTCTGTTTACTCAAATTCGTCGCTGAATCGAAACGAAGTATACACAGTAGATGGTGATTAGTTCACGAAATACACATACATCACACATGAGGGAACGAGTGTTGAATGTTTATTCGTAGTGGATGACGGAAGAGCACGGAAACATCTGTTGGTCGCGTCCGAATCGGAGGCCGAATGAAGCCACAAAGAGTATAGCGTGGACGACCGCTATTCATCAATTGCTATGAGACTATCGCGTGGCTCGAATCACAAGCGGTGGCGGATGCGGTATCTTAAATACAATTAACTAACATTGACTTGGTCTTAATGAGTAAATACAAAATATATTGAATTGCTTATCAATATTCTTGAACTAGAAGTAACCGATATTTAAATAACCGCGTTAATTAGATTTTCCCCACATAACCGTAACTTCCTACGTAATAGTTATTAGCTTGCTAAACCATAATCAATTAAAGAGCTTACATTTCTAAGAATTTTCTACGTTATCAATTTTTGCGTCAAGAATACGTCAGTGATTGACTGCTATCGTAAATATATGACGACACGTAATTTGAAGAAAACATGAAACTAATTTCGACTTATATTACCGTGAAAGAAGCAGTCAAGGATTAATTAATTTTATTTTTACTGAAAATTAACAGTTATTACAGCATCATGGTTAATTAAAGTTTGCTTTACATCTTCAGCCATATCGATTAAATTTCAATGGAGGTTTCCAAAATAATAAGACTTCTTTTTTGGTGGTTTGTCCGAATAATGATTGCAGGAAATTACGTAATTCCCAGATCTAGCCTAACCAGCAGTATATGATGGATGAGACAAAATCATTTTATGTCGGTATATTATAAGAGAAATCAGTTCTGGATAAGCGATTTCTTATGATAAAGAAAATATATTCAAAATACATCGCTAGTATCTTATAATTTGTGGCACAGGCGCATTCTGTTTGCCATCGACTACCGCGTCTGCTTAGCTGTGACGTTGCAGGCACGTCACTCGCACAATGCAACCTCGCCCGAATCACCTAACAAATGGAGTTCAAATTCGAACAACACGCGTACTCCGGCCCCGCATGCAAATCCCATTTTGTTGTTTGACGCCACGTGAAGTATAAGAGTGCCCGTGCATTTATAAAAGCTCCATTATGAATTTTAAACTGTTTTAGATTTCAATAAGCTACCTATAAGTACGTATTGAAAGTCAATCGCAAGTCCCATTGGATAACAACACCTCCATGGTATGAAATGCCGCGTTTGAGACAAAGGAGGTAGGGAGAAGGGGGGAAGTAGTGGGGTTCTATTAACCACAAGTAGCAACACCGTTACGTTACGCCACAGCTGACATCCATAAAAACTGTAATTAATTTAGCGACTCTACGTTTCATCGCATTGTATCGATCCCAAAGTACATTGTAGACTCTAACTGTCATATTAACAAAGTAATGGTTCAATTTAAATATGAATTATCAGTACATATACAGACAGGCATATAATACTATTATAGATTCTACCACATCATAGGACAGATAGTTTTTGCTTGCATTTAAGTACATCCAATGAATTACACATTGCATAATAATTATTATCTGGCAAATCCTAATCAATACCACAATTGCATAACAAAAATATATCATCACAGTAAGCTGCACAACATATCCAAAAGTTTGGATCATGTATAATGGATCAAGATAAGTTAGTAAAAATGTCAACTTTTATGGCCAACTGATGGCAAAGTAAGGTATATTCCATTGTCTTTTTAAAGACTAAATTGTTAGTAGTACCTAAAGTATAATACTTGCATTGTAGTGGTCAATAGGTGGTTTTTAAACTTACTATGTCTTATTTCATATTCTATTAGAGATATTTTATGAGGTATAGTGAATCTTTTTTTACTCAGATTAGACGTTAAATTTATTCTCTAGTTGGGAAACTACCTGCAAAATATCAATGGTCAGGTATTTATGAATTTAAAACAGACTTATTTGCAAAACCAAATACACTGAAATGACTAGACAGGATATGTCTTGTCAATTCAATCTTCCAGAAATTGTTTAGACATGTTTTAAAAGTTTTAGCTTTTTAACATCTTCTAGAACAAACATGACAAGGATCTCCTGCCACATTTTTGATTCTGACAGAAGGCCGCTAGTAAACTGTTACAATTTAACAAACTAAAAGTAAATACCTATGCCTGCCCGGTTAGGTTACTTTGTTGGCTTACAACCTTACGTAGAATTATTAAACCAATATTAATAAGAATACGTAAATTGGTCAGTTTTTAGTAACAATTCTAGTTATACATACTCAAAACATGGGTAATAAATTAAACAATACATACAGTCTTTACTAAAGACGTCAAGCAATATGGATATACATATAAACAAATTACTATGTATAATGAACTGGTCTATAATTTATACATAAACTCTGTAAAGACAAAAGCCCGCTCTACACATTACCATGGGTAAAGTTAGAATTTGTAAGGTTTCCTTTAGCCAACTAAACAAATAACACTAATTAAGACCTTCAATCAATAATCTAAAAGAAAATAAAGCTTAGATGTACTCTTAACAACAAAGTGTGTTTAAATAAGAAATGTAACTGGCCATAACAATTTTTTTTAAACAAATTAATGTCAGTGTAAACAAAAAGGTCATTAATCTCCGCCACAGAATAAAAAGAACCAAGGGATCCAACAGCCAGCTATCACAGTGCTTAAGTAGTTAAAACTGAAAAACTACTTTGCTTTACCAAATTTTTGGAGATACAAACATACCTTGACATTCTCCAGTACATTTTAACGAAATGTCATAAAACAGTTTCGGAATCAATGTTTTAAAACACACAAACAATGATAACAGCTAGAAGATATTAGAATGGTTGATTTCCATATGGCAGTAAATAGAATGTACAAAATGGAGAGGGAAATTTTAATTTAATTTCAATTCTGGTAAACAACCACAAGGTCAATGGTCAAAGATCATTCTTGTGCACTTTCTAGGTTAAGTATATTTACATGATAACTGTTAAAAATCCCTTCCTGCTTTTATCAGCTTGTATGCATGTATATATTGTATTTATATCACTTATTAAGCAGTTGCAAAAGCAAATGATGAATGAGTGTTGACAATGAGTCAAACAGATCCAATTCAAAATCTATACCTAAATTGGCATATGTAGCATTGTTATAATATAAAAAAAACACTTACCAGCTACTTCTAAGAGTGTTTCAAGCCGAGCTTGCATCTCGGGATCAACTGCTCTTTCAGGATCATCATGGGAGAGTAGGAACTTAGATGACTCCGCAGCACCGGCTTCCTCTTCCATCTCCTGCTGAAATGCATTACTTACATTAAATATCACATAGTGAACTAAAGCTTTTGCTTAATATACAAACTACAAGAAAGAAAACAACAAATATGGTGTTTACAAGAACTTATAATACAAATAAAGATGTCAAAGATTAAAATAGAATTGGAAATGTCAAATATAAGTAACAAAAATAAACACAAAATCAAGAAATCAATGTTTTAACAAATTAATTGTTTTTATTGTGTTTATCAAACAAAAAACATATCACTGACATATCCTATGTTTATTTAAAAGCAAACTTAGGTTATAGAGTTAGAACAAAAAGGTTATTAGGTTAGGTTTTGTTTAAGTCTGTATTGTATTTGCATCACTCCAGTTAACAGTGTTAGTTATATCAAAAATGGAATAAAATTCAAGCATTTATTTGTTAGAATCACAAGGACCATCCAACATAAAAAACCAAAACAAAATATATTGAAATTGTCCAATGCACACACATTATGCAGGTTAACATAAAGAATCAGTTGGCAACAGCAATTGGTGTTGGAGAAGCTTTGGGCACTCAGTACTGATCTCTTCAACTTACCAACAGGTCTGGCCTGCTTAGGCACAAACAAGCCAGCAAGATCTATAACACCAATGAGAAAAACATAAGATACACTGACAATGTGGTGCTTGGGGACATGCTTAAGGCTAATGTTTACGGCCAATGGTCCTTGCAATTCGCCAATAACCAACATTTTTGCGCGAATCGCTTATAGAGTTTTACACTAGTGGTACGCGCGTGACGACACTGAGTGGAATACTACTGGACGAAAATATAACGAATTCATCTAAATATTATATAATTAACACTGTCACATCGAAATATCGGCATTAAAACACTATTTTCAGTATTTCGCATTGACTGGATGCATGTGATTCAAGAAACATGGCCACCGCAATTCGTGCCCAGTCCAAAACACAAATAGACAATGAAAAGGCTTACGGCATAGTTGCTTTTGATGTAAAATTGCGAAGATTTTGTTAAAAATATGCCCAAGAACGGCTGACATAAATAATTTCATGCATTACTCAGTAGAACGTATGTACCTATGACTTTCTGACGTTTTACGGAATATTTGGCAAGACACTTGAACCGTAGAAATTACGATAAATTACTACATAATAGCGTTTTAGACCCGATTATGGTATATTGTTAGGAGTTGATACGATTACAATACAAAAAGAAATTGTATGCTTAATCACATACAAGATGTCCCTTGCAGCATTTAGCGGTACAGATAATCACAGTCCCTCACTGCCACCGCCTCTGCCAAAAACAAAACACGTTTTACCTCGGATACAGAATCATCCTCGCTTTCCGAAGAGTCCGTCATGTATTTGGCAGGCACTCCAGAATACGTTTCGGTTTCAGATTTGGCTGGACTTGAAGCCGAACTCTGAGGAGTGGATGATTTTACCACATCAAGTTGCACATTCACCTTATCGATATTTCGGTTTTCAGACTGTCCGACATTCTGCATTTTTGTCCTAATCCAATACAACTTAATTAGTCTTTCAGTATCAACACTTTTACTATGAAATTAACACGTTCTTATATTAGCAAACAAAATTTATTTCGTCATTTAGCCAGGTTGATACCCGCCATGTCTACTACTATGGCGAGGTTCCCGGATGCTTCAAGTAGGCTAACCAATTATCTCCCTCTGGCGATAAAATTGTGAACTTTTTGTGCTGCCATCTGCTCTAAAAAATTTAGTTTGACTAACATAGACAACAAATACTATTTTCGTTATTTTCATTTAGGTATCAGCTCAGGGATTTCAGAGGTAGGTAAATGAAATTGATTCTTTTGATTTAATTGCATGTTGTTCATTTGTATACTAAAAATATTTCTGTAAGTGTATCACATTAAACCTTCTAATTTAACATTATGACATTTTTAGTAAAAGTTAGAACGAGCTTTATATAATATCATATTAAAATATAAGGTGCTTGATTCTAATAAATAAGCATTAAAATTGAAAACTTTATCATAATTTCCCATTACCTTATCTATGTTGTGTTCTTTTATATATTCTGTGGTACTTCCTATAGACTGCGGAAAGTAGAAGAAACGCATAATAGCTAATTCTACAAGCAATTATCTTCCTTATTCCGTTAGCGTAAAAACTAACGTGTATTGCTTCATAACAAAATATATAATTCCATAATTTTAACGTCAGTCAATTTCAATTCTATTGTCAATAGTACAAGCAATCTCATGAAAGTTAAGTAAGAAAATGTATTTATTACTGGTTGAAAAATATTTACATTGTAATATTATATGTAAAGAGAGTGTGTGTGTTTATAAACAAATAATGTGAATTATAGTTATTACAATATTACTTCGAATACTTTAAATAAGTAATAAATCTTACATTCACATCTATATCCTTATTAATTTAATATTATCAAGATGGAATTTTCGATAACAATAGGATTGCCGCAATATTTGAAAAACGAAAATGTGTGAAAAATTATAAAGGGAAAATATGGCAAGGGACGGTGATCTCCCTACAATATTTAATCCGAAACGAGTTCGCGCGCCTTCGGTGATAATTACCAGCGAGGAAGTGGAATCGGAGCAAGGGGGTAGTGGTGATGTCGAGAGAGCAAATGGACCACCGACCCCTCTCAGTCCGAGGGCACCTCTTACACCACAGACTTCGATATCATCAGCTCCGCCCTTGACCACTCAACCTTCTCTTCAACAAGCCTACAGCGAGTCAGCTACGAGCAGTCAAGACGAAGAGCGGCAATTACGTGATAAAAGATGCCCGAGATGTTGTTCGAAATTTGCCAAAAAGGTATAATACTATAGCTATTGTTTTGCTCATATGAAATACACTTTTTTTATTTATTTAGTGTTTTCAATAACTATAGATTTACTTAATATGCTCATGTTAATTAGATTCTTACTTTTTGCGACCTTAGTCCTAAAATTTCACTTCAAAAATAATATAAAGTGTTATTTTTTTATTTTAACATTATATTTACAGATATACTTTGGGCTTTGCGTAACTTTAGTACTGGTAGTGTCATGGGTTGCGGTGACTCACTGTGTAAAACACATGTACATGCAAGAGTATCCACTGGATCATGATGCACCTCAGAGTGCAGACCCATCCACTTACAACTTTACATCTAAAATACCAACAAATGTAAGTTATTTCATTTTGTACAATATGTAACATATACTTCATATGGTATTTATGATTTAAAATACTTATTAAGGGTTTTTGATATGTTGAAAGGAATAAATGGCAGCAAATAACATATGAAGAATCATCAAAATTGCTAAAGAACTCCATTAATTTATTTAAAATAACTGTTTTTCCTACATTATTTTTTGTTCATGTGATGAGAGATGCACATGTGGACTAATCTTCCTATTTAGTTACTATACAGCTTGTTTCACATATTCACCTTAAAATAAACACTTTAATATATGAATGTGTTCTTGGTTTAGTTGTACAACGCACCATTCTTCACGGCATGGTTCTGCACAAACTGGCTGATCCTGTTCTACCCGCTCTATCTGATTGTAATGCTCATACACAACAAGTGCAAGTCGGCTCACGACATCGTATTTGATGCTTTTAGTGACTTCAAAGAAAAGGGATTTACATTTGGTAAGCTAATTTTAATTATAGTTATTTCTTACTAGCTGTCGCCCGTGACTCCGTCAGTGCGTAATTCATAAAAAACTTAATCAGTAGCCTATGTGTTCTTTCAGACTATGACAAATTTCATCAAGATCCATGGAGCTGTTGTGGGGATACCTTCAAACAAACATCTACCCATCCATCTAAACATTAGCATTTATAATATTAGTAATAATGATTACTATAAATGTTAACAACTTAATATATTTTATGTTGAAGTGAATAGTAAGAAAAGTGTGAATTTTGATGTGAAAGAGAAGGAATACATGACTGAAACATGCATAACATTCTTATACTTCTAGCTATATCTGCATTTTATGTTTAGCCCGTTTCCTGAGTCGCTGCGCCTTGTTTTGCTTGCTGTGGGTGCTTAGTGTGTACATGTACACGTATGCCCTACGGATACTGCTCGCAACAGATGTGGTGGCGTTATTCGCTACCAACGTCTCCTGCATCTACCTCCTCTCCTGGGTGATACTGCACGAGCAATTCGTCGGCGTTAGGGTAAGTTATAATTTTTATAAATTTGCACTACTACTTTTGTAAGTAATTATTAAATCCGATCTCTTGTATCGGAGGCGAAGACCAACTTTGGTTTGCTTGTTTGGTTGCAACATTGTTTGTAATATGCTCCTAAAATTTTAAAACAAATTTGGAATGATAGATTGATTATGACACTGAAGTGTATAAAAACATAAATATTTAAGTATTTTGGATGTAATAACTGGCCACCGAGATCACCTTCACCTAATCAAATAAAAAAATATGATCGAGTTCATTCTTAATGTGTTTTATGTTTTTTTTTGTCTAGGCACATTAGAAATGGGTGTTCATTTATTGATATGCATCATAAGCAAAGTTATATTTAACCAATTATTGGCCCAGAAATTCAGTTGATAAATTATTCCTTCATTCATTCAGTCAAAGATTCGTTCAGTCATTCAGTTTTGTATGTGTTGGTTATGGACAGATTGTGGCAGCGATCCTTTGTGACACGGGAATAGCGCTCCTCGCCTACATGGATGGCATCACGGGTAGTTCCACACTGGGTGGGGTCGTGCTTGCCGCATGCGCAGCCGCTGGATTCGCTATATTCAAGGTAATGTTATATAAAAATATTTGTGTGAGTTAATATAAAAAGTTTTAGCAAAAAATAGACGGTTTTCTTCTGTTTATTTAGAACTGTGCTTTGAAATGAACTTGTTACGTTTGAGCGTTTCTTAATAAATTATTTTTTCCTTTTATAATAAACGTAGAAATGTATTTAACACGCAACTGCTACTGATTTATACGTTTTAATTGCTTTTAATGACCTTGCCACTTTTGCCTTTCAAAATATATTTTTAAATCGTGTATAGTCCGATATGGATGAGGTCGTATTTTAATTTTTTTTATTTCAATAAGCATGCGATGGAAAGCGTACGTAATATCAAAATGACTTGAAAAATTATGGTTCTCACGGATTTTTCGTCCCGATCCCTTGAAGTTTCTTACATCCATGATTTAAAAAGCAGTTAAGACGCTTTATATTTTACAAGTTACACTATCGTGCCTAATTAATATTAATTAACTAATAAAATACATTAAAATTAAATATTTTATCCGTGTTATAATTATTAGGTGAAATAATCTATCAAGGTATAAAACTTCAGAAAAGTATGCTTTAAAACAATTGGGTTAAGGGTGAATTTGAGTTGAACTTTAATAATTATCCAGAAATCGTTGCATGTTAAAGTTATCTGATTACAGTTTTACATGGTGCCCTATTTCTTTTAAATCGATTTTTTGTTTTGAAAGTTCCTATCATCTACGATTTGATTTTCAATACTTTCTTAGTAAAACAAAGTATCGAAAATAATTTGCTTTCTTACAGTCAATATGCAATACCTTTGTTCTTCCTAAAAATTGCGATTAGCAGTAGTTATATTAACTGAGTTTAAAATATTTCGTATCAAATTTATAATATTATACTTTACAGTATGTTTGGATGGATAGACCTTCTAAATCTTACTAATATTATTTATGAGAATGTTTGGATGGATGGATGCTTGAAGGTATCTCCAGAACGTCTGCATGGATCTCGCTAAAATTTGACATAGATGTAGAACATAGTATGGAAGCAAACATAGGGTAATAATTAAGTTTTTTTATTACCGCGCAGACAGAGTCGCGGACGACGGCTAGTATAAAGATATTTCAGCAAGAATCGTTGTTTGCAAAACTTACGTAAGTTAGGGAACAGACCTCTCTCAATAAGGGTGCTTGACAATTCTTTAGAGGGTATGTTGAGTGCTACACATATTATATCTCACTGTATGCATATAACAGCGTCAGTTACGCAGTTATTAAACCCTTGGCTGCACCGAACCTTAATCTAAAAGATCCAGGTTCGATCTCTGTCGTGTACCAATATTTTTTTCTAATTCAATAACTCTGATATGTATAAAATAAAAAAGGTAGATTCTTTTCACAATAAACATTTCGTAGAAAAATATAACTTGGTAAAGTGTATATCTTTTTTGATGATCTAAATAGAGGGAAGTCTGACCTATTTCCATGGGTCAAGTTTAACGAGCTAAAATATCAAGCGAAATCTCATGTAACTCTTTTCTATTTGTCGAAACGTTCTTTTATTTTAATACAACGTAGGATTGATTAGAAGCCAACAGTTAAAGGTATTCTCTTAGTTTTATTAAGGGTTTTCAATTGCTGGGTCCTGGTCTAGGGAATCCAGGAAGGACCTGTACTCTGAACTGGTTTAAGGAAACTAGAATATGAATTAGTCTGGCTGTTTAACTAAAAATAGGGTAGACGTAATCATCCAAACTCTTTTAGAAGATGATACTACATAAAGAATATATATTTGGTTTGTTGGTACGGACCCTTTTTATCCCTCTACATTTAAAATTCTGCTCTGCGTAGTATGATGTTCCGAACCGACAAGATATTTGAAAACGGCTGTACAGGTGCTGTTTAGAAAGGTGATGGGAGAAGTGAATTCTGGTCAGCGCGCACTGTTCTTCTCCATCGTGGGCAGCGTGAACGCGTTGCTGCTGTGGCCGGTGTGCCTGGCGCTGTACCTGACTGGTTCCGAGCTGCTGCCGGCGCACCGCATGCCTTGGCTGCATCTCCTGCTGGCTAGTGTCGCGCTGCTAGGTAAGACCCACATGCCCCCCCACTCTTCCCCGAAATAATGAAACACTGTATTTAACAGTGGTAGAGCCCGCTTTAACATCTTCGCACGGCTTGGCCCGGCTCGACCGGTGAAATACCACGACCACACAGAAGACAGGCGTCAAGTGGAAGCTATACCGCGTTTCGTCTGATAAGTGTGCGTCCCGGAGGCCTTATTTAGTCCTCTTTCTCTTCCCACCCATTTTCTTAAGGAAAGGATGGGCAGTGAAAATGGACTTTCCGGATGAGAGGATGCATGGAAAGAGAAAATATTTTCTTTCTGTGCATCCTCTCCTCCGTCGATTAAAGGTAACGCATATGCAATTGCGTATATCTATGGGCAACGGTCACTTCGCTATTTCAGCGATTTCAGGTGGCCGCTCGCTCGTTTGCCACCGTCATATAAAAAAAAACAATGCAGAGTTACGGCCGCCGTCTATGGACTTTGATGTTTACATAATGTAAGCATTCAATTGACACGGGGTAGGTACTGTAAGGAAGAAAATCCGACACTGCCGATGTATCGGAGCAACTCTAGCCTTATTAAAATATCAACGTTTATGTCTCCTCACAAATAGATCTGACACTTTCTCACGATTCTAACTAATAATGTCTAAAAGAACCGACTAATCTGTTGAATGAATATATTGTCTTGTGAAACTTTCAGTGTTCCATTTGGTGTTTCAATTCGGCAACATCATGACGTATAATATATTCGTCTCGCTCGGTCTCATCACTGCCGTACCTGTTTCTGCAGGTGAGTACACTGTTGTCTCTGTCTTTCTCTATAAGAATGAGCGGGATGACAATATGTTGTTGTGTTCCAGCGCTGGACGTGGTGATGTACGGGGCGCAGTTCGCCGGCATGAAGCTGGCGGGCATCATACTGATAGCGGTTGGATTCTTCCTCGTCATGTTCCCGGACAACTGGCCTGATTATATCATGCGTCTGCTCAGGTAACATTAAGTTATTATATAATGTCTACTAAACAAAATATCTGTAATTTTTACAATTTTTGATGACAATTTGATGAACAAAAAAAACAATATCACTTCTTACTAATGTTATAAATACGAATATTTGGATGTATGGATGGATATTTGTTCGAAGGTATCTCCAGAATAGGCTGCATATGATTCGCTGAAAGTTGCTATAGATGTAAAACATAGTCTGAAAGAACACATATAACTTATGTTTTTTTTTAAATCCCGCGCGGACATAGTCGCGGGCGTCAGCTAGTATTGCATATTTACGCTTATCTCTTTAGGATTTTTCTGTGGTATACTAGTATATCCCTCACGACTTTAACTGACATTTTTAATTCGTTCAATTTTCTTATGATTTTTTTTTACTAAAATGTAGTTGTGTAATGAATTGTTAGATGGAGTCGTCGTCGTCAGCGCGGCCAGCCGGGGTCGGGACGTAACCGGGACGCGATGGACTACCGCACCGGATACATCCGCTCTCATCTGCGCTCACCCTCCGGCCGCGTCAGGTGACCGCCCTCCCCCACCTCGCCCACCTCCTCAACGTCACCTCCCTCCTCGTCCTCACCACACACCAGCCCCGCACCGTGACATACCTCACATATCTTCCTGACAGAGATACTCTTTGGATTTTGAACATAACGGTCATATTAAATCTAGAAAAAATGTTCGGTAATTTAGAAATAATAGATTGAATAAAAGGCTTATAATATAGAAAATTTTAACACCAAAGATTATAGAGATACTTTTTATTAAGTTTGGAATTAGATTTCCATGACATTCCGTAATTTATAAGTTGGAAAAAACACCATAGACCCGTCGTTACATTACCATAGACAATAAATCAATCATCAATGTTAAAGGTTTAAGTTAAAGTTAAGATAAAATAATATAAGTTTTGAAGATAAACTAGCCGACATCCGACCTAAAGATTTTTATATCATCCAATTGATTTTTTTTTGACCGATTTAAAAAAAATATATATATTTCTGTTTTTACTTCCACATTTCTCATATATTATAAATTTTGTTGAGTGAAATTATATTAACGCATCATTTAACTATAAGTTTTAAGGGTTGGTTGTTGAATTATCTTTTCTTATAGTTTAGGAAAAGGCACATTATATACTTGGAAATGTAACATAAATTAACATATGTATTGTAGAAACATAGATATATATAGGCATGATAGAAAATAGGAATGTTTAGCGGAAAATAAAAATTCACACATCTATTATCTTAAAGTGAGTAGACAGAGATTGATTCTAAGTAAAATAGTCGTAAATAAAATGAAATAACTGAGAGTTAAAAATTATTACATATATAAAAATATTAGAAATTAAATTTTAATATTTAAAAAAAAGACATTATTTTGTTTATTAAATCTGGCTCTTAAAAGTACCTGATTAGATTGCAACAATTATTTTATATTCTACAGAACTTATTTTAGTGGCATTTTTAAAATAATATAATTAAAATCAAAAGAATATAATTTTTTTTTTCAATTAGTATTGCCAGCATGAAATTAATTTGTGTTGCCACATACAATTGTTTTATTTGCAAATTTAAATTAATATATTTAGACAAAAAAATCAGAACCACATATTTAAGATCGTTTTCCACTAAGCGACTAGTCGCTTATTGGATCTTAAAAGGATATTTTTTTTAATTTAGAGTATTTACGGTATTTGACCGTTTACTTTGAATTGATTGAAGTGTAAAGTATAGAAATTAAATAATTTCTAGTCTGAAAATAGTGTGACCTGAATTAATCTAGTCATTAAAATTGAGGAAAGAAGGTTTATTTTGTTATATTTTTTTTTCTTTATCACATATATATTTTTCATATCGTTTTTAGTTATAAAGTTATTTTTGCTAAAGTTATAACAATTTTAATAGTTAACGATTTAATTTTTACTTGTCTGAAAAGAGTGTTAAAATTTAGAAAGGTGTAAAATTTATCTTAGTTCTGCCGTTAAAAGGAAATCTAACCTTTATAACTATATATTTTTGTAAGATAAACACAGAACAATGTATGAATGAATGTTACCTTTATGCCATCCCTTACCTGACCCACCTTGTTATTTTTAGTTTCATTTATGAATGTATGGATTTGTGTGAGAATGAGTAACAGTTAAATCCACTGATCTCTATAGATATCTGCTGGACAGTGGTAGAGGGAGCTTTAACATGTTCGCTCGAATCATCCCGGCTCGCCCGGTGATATACCACGACCACACAGAAGACAGGCGTGAAGTGGAAGCTATTCCATGTACAGTCTGATGAGTGTGCGTCCCGGAGGCCTAATTTAGTCTTCTTTCCTTTCCGGATGAGGGAAAATATTTTATTTCTGTGCATCCTCTCCTCCGTTGATTAAAGGTAGGCAACGCATATGCGGTTGCGTATGTCTATGGGCAACGGTCACTTCGCTATTTCAGCGTTTCCAGGTGGCCATTCGCTCGTTTGCCACCTTATGATATAAAAAAAAATATTGTTCTAACATAAAGACAAAGTCGAAGTTACTATCGGCTTATTCTATCTTTATTAGTAGTACGAGTTTCCAATACCGCTACTATCAACGCTAATATGGCGAGAATCAAATAGGCACAAAATATCATGGTTCATAGCCTGTCCAGTGGAATACAAGAGGTCAGTGTTTAAAATTCAAAATTTGAAATTATTAAAAGAATAATTCTACAAAACCTCAGACTTTGTATATAAAATACTAACAGGATGTTTGATCCTTGTGTTTTTAATTTTGGTCTGTTTATTTCGATCAGTTTTGTTCGGAATTTGTTCTTTTTTATGTATGAAAGAGTTCTAGAATTCCTTTTTCTCTTCCCGCAGACTGTCCCACGTGTTTAACGTTTTGTTTACCCTACGTTATTTCCTAAAAGTCTGTAAAGCAGGTGAGGTTTAATTAATTTAGTTTAGTTATAACTGTCAGTATTATTTGCTGCCTTCATTTTTTTATTTGACGTTTTTCTTACTTTGGTAACCCTGTCTCGAATGTCACCCTAATGTTTGTTTGTAAGTTTGTATGGAATTTCAGAATATTATTGTTATTATGTTTAAAATCCTGGCTAATTAGTTCTGTGTTACAAATTTTTATGAAGATGTAAATTTAACCTAATAAGATATTAGAGTTTTTAGTAAATTGAAAACATAATAACTACGGTCTATATAAATATATGACATCTCACAATATATTAGGTAAATACATTTTTAGTACGTAAGAATAACGAATGCCCCAATGTAGATAAAAAAATAATGTTTATATTGTAATGCACATGTCTTATAGACGATTATGTCCTCGCGGATTTTTTTTTTATTTGCAGTTTTTTTTTCAATTATTTTCTAACAAAAATAATAGACATAATTTCTCAAAAATCTTGTTACTTTTAGCGTTATTTTGAATTAAATAATGTCTTTTAGTTTAACACAAGTTAATATAAAAAATGTCTTTGTATAAACGCAAAAATCAGCGATTGCAAGTTCATATAATAGCAATCAAAAATATCGTATTTTTCAAACTTGAAGAGAATGAATTCAGCAAAGATCTCATGGAGAGTTTGTTATCGTTCATTTGATCATCTGACGCCGCTTTGCCGCGGCGTTCACCCGTTGACAACACGTTGATGACGCGTGCTCAACGTATCATTTTACTATTATCTATCTCGCTTGCTCATTACGCAACCACCATCTACCTATCGTCATTTTTACATTTAATTTGATGAGTTCCCTTTTAGTAATTGATTTGGGAATTAAATTACTAATTTTAGGTTAAGAAAACCTATATAGTATTTTTATTTATCTCAGTAATATAGTTAAAACAAAGCACACCAAGACGTGTATATATTTAATGGAAGTAGTCGAGTTTTAGACTTAGACTTTAGTATGGATTTAATGCAAGAAATGACTATAACTCTGTATCACCAAATTGTGGATTTAGTTAGTTTGATATTGAACTGGTATTATGACTTTGAGGAAATTCTGTATCCAATTATGTTATGTCTCGTCCAATTATAAAAAAATAATGTTTACAATCGTTCAGTGTTATATACAAACATAGAAAGAAAGATATTTATTACCACACATATATAAGAGAAACAAATACATAAAGCATAGATTTATAACAAAAAAAAAATGATATTTGTTGGCCATTCATTTTTGTATGGTTTGTTTGTTTGTGCCTTTAATTTGATAGATTTTAATGTATTTGCCGTATATTTGATAAATTTAGAACTATGATCTCTCTTCTGCATTCGTATATTTATGTTGTCTTCAAGAGTAAATTATAGTGTGAAATATATTTTTTGAGACCAAAATTCTTTTATAGAGATTTTGATCTCGTAAACAAACTATAAATCAGGAAATTGGACAGATGGGCAATTTGCCCAATTTATTTCAAGTCATTTTTTTTTGTTATTTATGTGAGTTTTTTGCATGTTGATTGCATTCAATAGACTGTTATATAAAGATTGTCAGTTTATAAACTGCGATATTGTCGACGGTAAATTATGTTAATTTGTTCATATGTAGTTGGCTGTTTAATGGCGGAGAAATTTATATCAAAATTGTTTGAAATGTATTAGCTTAGAATGAACTTTGGCCTAAATTGTTTAGTCTGGAGATGCACTTATAGCAAAAATATTGCGCAAATATATTTGTTATTAAGAACATTTATGGTTAAAATCTTGAAGTTCTGTTCAAAGTCTTGATGAATTTAAAATTAAACTGATATATAAACACGACTAAACACTCACGTATATTCGTCCGGTGGCAGCGCCGACTAGTTTCGAGCCCATCGGGGGCCCTTTACCAGGATGTGTGGTACTGGTATTATTTCGCGGACGCGGCCCTCAGCTCACTGACGTATATACGTGAGTGTTTAGCCGTGTTTATATATCAGTTTAGTATAATGTCTCACGAAACTTTGAATAATTGAATTTAAAATTATTTGAAAATTCGGCTCAACGTTTTGTTGTGATGTTTTTTGTATGACTGATTTCGTGAATTAGCGGATAATTGTATTTAATTTATTCTTCTTGTATATTTGAAATGATTTAGTATAAAGTAAATCAATTATAACATTATTCTCTCAGTTAATATTATTGTGTAATTTTAATTCAGTTAAATGTATACAGTTAATTTACAGCTGTAGTTAAATTCTGAACCGAAAAATTGTTATTTAAACGTTAATGCTTTGATAAATATTATTTTGTTTAACCCTTAGTAGCCTGATTTACATACGAAAGTGATTTATTTTTAATATTTTTGTGTTTGCTTGATAAAATAAAACAATGATTTTTTTTTTAATTTCGTTGGAAAGAATATAGTACAACAGTAAAATAGGTACAGCCAACCTATAAAAAAACTTATAGTAATGTGAACATTCGGTTTAAAAGATTGGTAACAAAATTGAAACTGTAGGCTAATAAGGGTTAAGAAATTTAAAGAACGTCTTAATTGTTCATATTTATATTATGAGTAAATTTAATATTAAAAATTGTAACCTTTTTTTTGTTTGGAATAACATGTTTTCATATGAATGTTTCTTTAATCGATTTTTTAATCGTTTCATTCAGCTTTATATGACACGAGCCAGTGTTTAATTTGTCTTGATAATTTAATTAGAAAATTTTAAAGACTGAATTAAATGGAATAATTGACTTATATTCAATTACGCAGTCATTTATTATAAATATTAGTGTTTAGTTTTAAATTAAATGTATGTGAGTAGTTTAGTATTGTTTTTATCTGTGTATAGATGTTAGTGTTAGTGCAGTTTGTATGTAGCCCGAGTTGACGCAACCACCTCGGACCCTGTGATTCATTTTGTTGATATGTAGTCGTAATTTGTTGGCCATTTTAAATAAAATTTGACATAAATTATTATTGGGTTTTATTTATATCATCCATATTTTAGTTATCTGACGTTAAATGAAAATGTACATATCCAGGAATTCAAAGATATGTGTGAAGTCTGCACTGGGCTAGCGTGGTTGACTAAGGCCTTATCATTCCTAACTTAGGTTTGGCTCCGAGCCCTTCAGTTGGGACCTATAGTGAGCTGGTGCAACCAGGTATTTTTTTATGTTTACCCAGGTCAAGTGATTCTCTCAGAATAAAACCCAGATTAGATTAAAGATTCCTATCCCCTCCACTTTTTAAAATTTGCTTTTATGTCCTTCCTTTAATTTTTCTTCCATCTTCTTAGGTATACTTTTACTCACAAAATTCGCTTTCTTAACCAGGAAACTAAATCCTTTGAACAACAGTAAAGGTGGGAACTTTTAAAAATAAAAGTGCTGAATATAATTGGACTAATGCCAGTCTTGTTTATTTGAGAATGTAGCTTTTTATTGCTATGATATTTGTATTACCTCAATATGTAGAGAATATAGTTGCGCTACATGTATAGCGACAATGTAAACTCACGTGTTCAGTTGTTGTTGGCGACGCGGTCCCAGCGCCACACGGTGCCGTCGTCGCAGCACGTCAGCAGAACTTTGCCGTTGCGAGACAATGTCACCTGTATACAAATATTACTTATAAATGCGAATTTATAGATGTTTGTTAGAAAGTATCTCCAGAACGGATCCATAAATCTTGCTGAAATTTGGCATAGATTTAGAACATAGTCTGGAAGAAGGCATAGGCTACTAAGTTTTCTTTTAATTTCGCGCGGATAGAGTCACGGGTAATAGTGTAACACCATCAAAGGCCGGCAACGCATCTATGGTTCCTCTGATATTGCAGATGTCTGTAGACTTTGATGAACACCTCGGTGTTCCTTGTTTTATCCCTTCTCTTACAAAAAAAACTAAGGTCTGGTACACTAGTATCCATTATGGATCTTTGTGGGTTGGGTTCTGCTGCGGACGAAAGCGTTAGCGTGCCCGTGGCCTCGTTAATATGCGTAGGAGGATCAGAGGGTTTAGTGAGTATGCTTCTCATCTGGAGAAAAATGCCATAACTACGTATGTATGCATAAAACATTCCAATCCGACAAAAAAAAGGGTTGCGATGTGTTGTATTGGGTATGGATACCTGTCTGACTGCGGCGACACAGCGCGGATGCACGAGCTGAGAGACGCGACTGCCGCCGGCCACGTTGCCCAGCTCCCACACCATCGTCTTACCGCTCTGGTTGCCCAGCGCTATCACCTGCAATACAAACGTTGCTTTTCTCTCAATTCATTCATCATTTTATAACAATTATATAGCAGGTACAGTCAGCGTCATATAGATCGTAACAGACAAGATATGCAAATATATAGGTACACCAAAAGTAATCAATTATATCGGTACAACAAAAGTCCTCAAAATAATAGATACATTCACCCACCCACCCAAAAAATTTAAATAGAAGGTAATAGATTGCTAAAAATAGCAACAGTCTTCTCTGTTAACATATGATAGTTATTTGTAAAACGTGGCCTTAAGTTGTTCCCAGCCGTGAATGTTTTAAAAACGGTTCGGAGTGTAAATCAATATTTGACTATCGGAGATACAGATTCATTGCTGTGCTCGTCCGTCACTACGATCTCACATCGAAATACATGTGCAAGCGACAAATTAATTCCGGTCTATTGAAGAAGCAGGAAACATATACGATAACGATACATTACTTTACTACGAGGGTAGTATACCCACGACCCATACAAATATTGTCGTGATTTCGACCAAAAACAATAATCAAATCTTCGAGTTATGGTTGACAAATATTGTGTAGATGGATAATAGCATTCGACGATGTTAACATCGGTCAAGCTGATGTGTATACATAACTTCAATAACATAGGTACAGTCACCTCCAATAAAGTGTAAGAACTTTCGCACGCACAGCGGCGGTTGTATAGACTATATAAAGCGACGAGTAGCAGTAATTAGGTCAGTCGATTTGAGACCTTCGAGCCGGCAAGTCGTGTCGGTGCGTGAACTTGCCATGTGCTACGAGTAGTATATATAGAGAAGAAGAAGAAGAAGAAGAAGAAGAAGAAGAAGAAGAAGAAGAAGAAGAAGAAGAAGAAGAAGAAGAAGAAGAAGAAGAAGAAGAAGAAGAAGAAGAAGAAGAAGAAGAAGAAGAAGAAGAACATAAGTACAATTACATAAGTTACTAAAATTATTCTATTTTGTTATAAAGCTAATAATGCCTAATAAAGGCTAATAATTATAATATAAGGTGGTGGTCTGAAACTGTTTTTTTCCGACATCGTAATTGCTCTCTGCTTTTGGATGTCGGATTTTTATCATTCTTTTTTTATTTGTAAATTAGTGCTTGTCAACTGATTTTCTAAAACTAACTAACTAATTTTTGGTAACTTAAGTCTAATTTAATTTCTTAGTTATGTGCAATTTTATTATGTTAGTTATTGTTTCTTGGTTTAATCTGTATTACCTATAATAAAAACTTTTCTTTCTTTCAAAAATCAAAACTATCTAGTACTATTTTACTTATTATATTTGTACCAAAAAGTTTAAGAACAGAATAATTTCAATATTACTTTCGGCAATTAAAGTAACAAATTCCGACTTAAAATAGGTGAATAAATTACTGTTGCATTAATATTATTATACAATATTTAAACGACATCTATATTAATAACATTTGTGTGTACATAATTAGAGTAGTAGAGTTGTAGTAGAGTATAAGTACTATTTTTATTTAATATTGAAATGTTTGTAAAGTAATTGTGTTTACCCGCTGGCTGTAGTCAACTGCGAAGCGTATGAACCATATCTCGCACTCCTTGTAGTCGAAGCGGTGTACGACAGTGACAGCGCCGTCCCCCGGCCGCGGCTCAGCCTCCTCCAGCCGACCCGGCTTCCAGCAGATTATTGCGTTCTCACACGACTGCACATACACACGGTGCGAGATTAAAAACAAACATAATTAGTAGACTATGTGTTCTTCCAGACTATGTTCTACATCTATGTCAAATTTTATTTTGTAGTAAGTAATAACATTTTGCAGACACCTTGTAACTAACATCCATCCATCCAACATTTAAATATTTAATATTAGTAAGATATATGGGGCAAAGAAGTAAAACTGTAAAATTAGTTTTCAATCCTTATCTTTTTAACCGTTATTAAAAAAAAATACACCGAAAACCCATATTTGAAGATTTACAAATGTGGAATATTCTTGAGTATTATTCAATCAGGTCAGAATTATTATTTCATTTATATAACAAAATACCCTTACCTTTGACAATATTAAATCTCCCATCCATCTGACACAATCTACATAGTTCCTGTGTATATCTCTCGTAGAGAAGTCAGGGAAGTGTTCCTTCAGCGAATTGAAAGGTCTCAACGCTCTGTGCGGATTAAAATTATAACTCTGTTTGATAGCCTCATTCATTGATGGTTTGTCAAGACGCCATAGCTTTAGTGAATGATCCATTCCGCAGGACATTATCCTCTCCCCTTTGAGATCAAAGTCGGCACTTAAAACCTCATCTCTATGCCCTTCTACTCCACCGAAGATGGCAATACACACATCCGTCATAATGTTCCACAGACGAAGTGCATGATCTTTACTCGCTGAGAGTAATAAATTAGGGTCTCTAGGATGGAATTTGACCTCGTTGATTGCATGACCATGTCCTATGTAATGCTTTATACATGTGTGTGTAGCCGGATGGAATATACGTATTATACCCCTCGAGCCAGCTACTGCTAACAGAGGCAGGTTGGTTTCTTCCTCGTATGACCATGCACATGTGTAAAATGTTTCATCTACCTGTAAAGGATTTATATATTGTATCTTTCAGCGGGCATTTTAATATATAATGTACAACTCTGTTATTATATATTGTCACTAACATCTGGGTCAGCGTAACATTGCAGGAATTTGAATCCACCTGATTCAGGACATTCATATATAGAGACCCTGTTGCTCCCCACGACAGCAAAGATGAGAGGCTCCCCCTCTCCCAAATGGTGATTGAATTGACATCCAAATAATGGTAAGCCATGGTCTTCTTTAGCACTGCAACTATTATAGTAATAATAATAAAAGTTAATAATAATCTTTGAATGAATATTATAAATACTAAATAATACTGTTTAATATTACAATTTGATCTGCTCATTTATATTTTTATGGAAATTAAAATAATTTGTTTAATATTAAAATATGAATCATATGTTCACACAGCTAAGATTAATTTTCTTGTCTTTCAAGGACTTAAAAGTTCTTAAAAAAGTATTGTAACATGGAAAAGCAGAACAAATGCGTTAATAATGGCTTTGACTTCATTTGGCTTTGTTTTACAAGTACTTATTAGAATTTATAGTACTTACTTAAATTTATATGGTGGTTTTACTTGTTTAGTAACTTTTTTCTTGCCTCGTCGTCGTTTCTTTACACGTGAATTAGTTGGGGTCTCACTACGCGACGTATTATCTGTATTAGAAGTGCTCTCAACGCTTGATGTGTCATCCTAAATAATTTAAATAATTAAACTCACCGTATTATCCCTATCACACAATACAGTAATTTGTTGTAGATTATAATGGTCATAACATATTGCTTCGTGATTATTCATATGCACAATCATAAAGTAAGTTTGAACAGTTACAGCGATAAAATAACTTATACATGTATCTCGACCATTCTGTTTCAATGTTAAAACAAAGTCATGATGTTGACTCACAACAAAAAGGAACGAATGTATGTCTACTTACAGCCTCATTGTCAGAAAAATTCATAGTAACCACCAATTTTTATAAGGAGAAAACAATGAACGTATCCAATTTGTAACTTTCATACAATCAACAATAATGAATTCATTTTTATTTTCAACACACTATTATCAGCTGGCGATGGCGTCCTAAACGTCAAATGTCAAATTTTCGCGGGAGTTTTGACATTTTAGGGCAAAGTCAATATAGATTTTTGTCTATTAATCTTTTTCTAATATTTTCATTTGTCATTTTTAAACTATTTATTTCATGCATTTTTATTTTTTTTTTATGAAAATAACTTCTTTATTAATTATGAATTCTAAAATGGTGTTATATTTTTTTGTTATCACAAGCGAAAAGAAGTTTGATAATAATTAAATAACGGTACGTTCTTAAAGAGGGATTAAAAGTGGTTGATATTTAATAATAACAAAACATGTGTTAACGGAAAGAGTATAGAGAGGTAATTAAAATCCTTTCACTTCCAAGTAATTAAAAGTTTTATGATGTTACGCCAAAGCAACGGTAGCTTTTATTATGTTTGCTCAGCATTTGACCCTGATATGTGCTGATATGAGTGGATTACAATTTATGATATAAATAATATACATATAACACACACTATTATTTTTATACTTGGAATTTTAAAGTTATCCAGTCGATATTAGAATTTTTGTGTTACTAAAACGTGACGTAGAGTGACGAGAACTTAACTTTTTAAAGAATTTTTATACTCTTAGTTAAATAATGACTGAAACACGATAAAGAAATAAAAGACAATTAATTTTGTATATGAATTTTAATAGCAAATAAAAAATACAGCATATTTATTAAAACAAGGTTGACCTTACATTTAAATATAACATAATAAATAATTATTACATGGTAACATTTTATGTAGGTAAATTCTAATTACGTCTAATCACAGCCACTTTTCTTAAATGATAAAAAAATAAATTTAAAACTATACGTATTTTTAAACATTTGACACTACATAAACCTACTTAATACTGATAAGTAAATGAATAAATGTAATGCGTTTATTTTGACATGTTATAATTAAAATTAAATTTTACAAGAATTATTTAATGTGTGCTACAATTATCCTTGCTATTTTGGGTTGCAAAGACGCATCATATGGGCTATTAGAGTACGCACACATTCTTAATTAAATCATCGCTATGATTTTATATTTTAAAACGTGCGCTAAGCAATTTAATAAATCACATCATCCAAAGTATGTAGGTTTTTGAACGTATGTGTACTGGCTTTTTAGGTCGTTATGGCCATGACCCTGTTATAAAAGTTAAAAGGGTCATACGTACTTATTAAATTTAACTGTACATTATATTGTAAAAAAATAGCTTACTAAAGCCTCACAATTTATCCACTATTTTATGTCTAAGTGTTTCATTCAGGAAAACTTACATAGGTAAATCAAATCGTGATTGTCCCAGTTAGCTTTGTTATGGAAAGGTAACTACTGTTCACATTAGAAATTCATAGACAACTTTTAACGAAAATGTATCATCGTAAGTTGTAAGAATTGAGTTATTCATCCTTTCTCTCTCTCTTTCTAGCCTCCAAAGTGTTATCTCTCTCTGTCTAGCCTCTTAAGCCTCTCAGTATTTAGGCGAGTGACACATGCAAGCGTGCCGCAGCGCCACCTTCAGCCAGGGCAGGAACTTTGCAACACGCGCATACACGCCCGGGTAACCTTGCCGCGCGCATCCGCGCCCCCACGACACTATACCTGGAACAAACGATCACTTTCTTTATTATATAGTAAAAAAAACAAACAAAAAATAAAATTTTATCTTTTTGTCTAATTTCTATGTTATCAACTACGACGAAAATTCTAAGTCTACAACAAAAAAACAATTCGGCTTTTCTTGCTTTTGAATATGCACATTGTGGCCTGCAAGATATGTCGAACTTACGAACCTCTAACACAGTAGGACAACACATTGACAATATTTCATGAGTTCAGACACTGTAGTACACTCACCAACAATAGTGTAATACGGTCTGGTGAGAAGCAGGGGTCCGCCGGAGTCCCCAGTACAGGAGTCCCTCTCGGGCGCGTTTGCGCACAGCATGCGCGGTGTTACCTTGCGCCGCCCGTAACCCGCACCCGAGCACTCCTCTTGAGCCCAAATGTTCACCTCTGCCTGTAAAATATTTTTCTTATTAAACTGTATTTTTTACCATACGCTAAAAATCCCAGCTAATCCGTTTGTTGATTGTTTATAGAAATACTTTGAAATTATCGGTTTCATGATTTAAAACAATAAGTGCGACCCAAATTGTGACATTCTCTTGGAACGTAGAAGGAAGAGGTAGAAGATTTGTAATCTTCAACACAATACTCACCTTCATAGGGATACTGGAAGGTGGACCTTTTTCAATAGTGCTGCCCCAGCCGGACACAATTGCCTCCACGCCTTCCAGCCGATTATCATCGTCAAAGTCTGAAAAGTAATTACACAGTGAACATTCTCTTGCCCTTTTCTATATTATTTGTAATATAGTTAAAATTAAAGAAACCTATATAAATTAACCTGGTAAATATGAGTTAATCCCTAATATTTTTCCCTTTTTAACGGAGTTAAAAAAAGGTTGCTTAAAAAAAAAACTAGTAGATAATTAGATGTTAACAATATTCTCGTTTGGATGATTAATTATCTGTTGACTAACCTTAATTCAAAACGACTAAAAGAATAAATCATAATTAATTAGTTCATGTATAATACCATCATCATCGGCTCACTATACGTCCCCACCGAGGGGCTCGGAGCCTACCCTAAGTTGAGGGTGATTAGGCCATAGTCAACCACGCTGGACAAGTGCGGATTGGTTGACTTCACACATATCTTTGAATTTCTTCTCAGATATGTGCAGGTTGCATCACGATTTTTTCCTTCACCGTAAGAAGAATGTATGAGTATAATTAAATTATGTGAACACAAAAACTTTAAAACACAGCATTTAAAGTTCAGTGTTAAGGTAATAAATTATTTCATTTTCTCAAATTAATTGCAACTTGTTTTAACAAAAAAATAAATCAACACAACTTAACGGAATTTTATAAAAACGAGTTAATTAATATAATAGGTACAAGAATTAATTAGAATACAGATGTGATCTCTTTTAAATTATATTAATTACGTGAATCGGAACGTTTTACAGTTAATTTTTGTCGATGGTTGGACATAGTCAACTTGAATTTATTACTATAAATAATTTTATAGAGAACGGTCTGATTCTGTCAAATAAAATGCAACAATTTATGTTTTATCAAAGCCGTTACAGAAAAATACCGTACGGTTAATTATATTGTAATCATAAACTATAGCATTTTATATATTTATTAGTTGCATACAATATCCAAATAGATTAGTCAGATATAAATGTTATTTATGTATAATAGATGCATCGATACTGATGCCGCTATTTGTACGAGTTTCTGAAACAATTCCAATTAAGTGGAAGTTTTTAAAATGCCACACCCTAGTCTATGGTCATGTTGCGCCTTGTAGCGATAAAAGATGTTATGCATTATTTTATTTATATTATAAGGTGGCAAACGAGCAAGCGGACACTTGGACTCGCCAATATAGCGACGCGACCGCACCCTATAGACACCCGCAATTACAGATGCGTTGCATACCGTTAGGAAGAGATCACTATCTAGTTATCTCTTCCTAAGCGTCCTCCAATCCACTTATCCTTTACTTCCTTTCCTTATAAGAAAAGAGTGGGAAGACTTAAAGTATCCTGATAAAAGATGAAACGGATTACTTTAGTAACAACCTAAATCTAGATTTGTTAACCTACCAGGCAAGCATGCAGATCTATACAGATGTTCAGGGATTGGTTCAGCCAGTCGGAGCACGGCGATGTCATTGTCGTAAGTGAACCTGTTGAAGTCCGGGTGTTGCGTGACATGCGCCACCGGGATACCATCTTGCTGGGAGTTGTTCACGTCGTATTCTCCAACCAGCACTGATAGACGAGACGCCTCCACCCTGGAATGGACAATGAACTTGTTAACGAAACGTAAAACTCAATTATAGGCAGTAGTAACGCAAAGATGTAGGTTATAGATTACAGGTTTTCTTCCTAAAAAATTCTAATTCTAAAAAATTAATCGTCTTTACTGTCTTTTATCTTTGATAAAATAGAGGGAACAATATGTTTTAAACGGGGTTTTTGGTCTCAGAAACCCACGGTTAATGTGTGGAATAAAAAATTTCTCCTAGCTTTTTATTTTTGTAAAATAAATGGATTATGCATTTTCAAATTTATGATGTAAGTGGCACAATTCTACTACTTACTAAATATCTCTTCCGAATATAATTAATCGATCGAAACAATAAAACATTTCATCGGATTCCATGACGTTCATTACTTCTCTCAGTTCGATTATAAATGGACATATTTATTTCTTTGATGCTATTTTTCCATTCATAAAAATATCGAAGGTCAAGGTTCGATTACTTAACATAAGTCTCCTTGGCACCGCTAACTTGTAGTTAAGTGAGCCAAGATATGGTAATTATAATTCAACGCACGCCCTCTTACAAAAGCTATGCTCTCTGCTGCGTAACTGTGAAGAATGGAACGCATTGGCGCATCTAATGCACGCTCTTGACCTCGATATACTAATTTAGAATCGAATATTTATATATGTTTTGATGCAAGAATCTTTTCAGTATGTTTAATACTTTTCAATTGAACGTTTATTTAATTGATTTCTATCTACTTTATTAGGTGACTTCAGACAAAAAAGGTTATCAATTCGTCTGTATTTTTTTTCGTCTAGCCCTCTCCGGAAGAACATTTATCATAAAAAACACAGAAATACTTCAACGCCGTTTAACTAAATATTTATTACAATTAGGAAGCTGCAATAATCAGCCCAAAATATACTCTATTTTATTAATCTTAATGTATAGATAATTTAAAATCAAATTGGAGAAGACAGTTTGGTAAAACCATAATTTATTTTATTTCTAATAATCTACTAGGTTTTATTACAACATAAAATATAATGATAATAAACTTGAGATAATTTCAAAATCCATTAAAGCAGGTGCCTTCCGTGTTTACGTAACTTATAGATTTTTCGTTTAGCACTGCACCTGACCTTTATCTTTCGCGTATCACTTGACATTTATTACATGAACAAGTGGACAGTTATGAGATATGGATGTCATAAGAGATTGTCTTCATATTCGTAGTTAGCTCACAAGTAAAGCATTTATCATTGCGTTAATATGAGATGTATTTATATATCTGGGACTATTTGTTCCCATGAGATGACAAATTACAGAAGATATTTCTATGATAAAAAAAGATTAATCTTTATTACTCGAAGAGAAAACTTTGCATGTAGGGAATAGATTAAAGTGATTTTTGAAGAGTGCATAGAGCTTAAAAATAATAAAAATAATTCTTTTGCTTATTAACTATTGCAATGGGCGACAACTAGGCTAAACCAAACGTATTAATAAAAGCTTACTCCTTTTTAATAGTGCTCGATTTTTATCTTAAGTGGTTTCAGGTTACACCCAATTTCCCAGCTGGGTCTTGGATCTTGGATAAATTTCCGTTATTTTTAAATTTTCACCGCTAATGTAGTAGGCTACGAGCTTTTTGCAGATGATTCATAGAGCAAGTCTAAACCGTTATTTTCCATAATGGCTTTTCTTTTTACTAGCAAATTTTCCTACTAATGATTACAATGTACTAAACTAGATAGTACCCGCGTCTCCTGTTATTTATTACTAGTTCATGTCAGTAACTGAAAATTTCCGTACAGAAAGAGAAACGGAACGTTAAAAATGCAACAGTTTTAACGTTAACATTCCATACGTCACTAGTATTTCTAAGTTTCCATTGCCGAAATATTTCTACTAAATGTATAGTTGTCTCTTTTATTCTCTTTGGAAATATAGAGATAACTATAATTTCAGAAAATGATTCAACGAAATATTACCGAAAACGTAAAGGAACATTTTTAAATTGCTCAATATTCTCGGTAATTTGTCTGTTGAATGCAAATTGATTTGGCGCACGCATACGAATTATTGCATAAGAAACGCAGCCCTTTGGAGGTCAAGTGACTGATTTGGGTCAACATCATCGCCCTGTCCTGCTTTTTTATTACATAAAATAAATATGTTTGTAATATTATGAAACGATCGATTTGTAAACAACGGTTTTAAGGATAAAAGTAATGGCAAATATTGGTCAATATTATTCTACGTAAAAAATATTGGATATTAAATGTTGCCCTTAACTTTGTTTTTATGGAATTAATTAATTAGTCTATGGTTTTTTCATCCAGAACCGAGCAACTGTTCTAGTGTTACGAGGTGATCCACCAAAGGGTCCACACCAAGTACGAGATTTTGTTGTTATGCTTTACGCGTGCTGTACATATCTAATAAATGTCGTAGATGACGTTACGATTACTTTCTTAAATTTTCGTGCTAGGCCCTTTGAGCTTTCTTTCGCATGACTGCAACACTTTTAGATGTCCCAAAAAGTTTGCTATGGGTATAAAAAAGTTAAAACTCATATCTATTGCTCGTCAAATGTAAAATTATCTGGGATTTATGAAAAATATTTATAGTTAGTAGTTAGTTCAACCACTATACCATATACTCGTAAATTATTATATCTATTGAAATTGACTACAGATATTTAAATGTTAAATGTGTGTTCCTATAAATTGAGTAATACTTTCACTTTGATTACTCGAGTCCTGTAGTTAAAATGGCCGCGGACAGTTGTGTCATAAACATAAGAGCTCATAATCAACATTATGAGAAGCGGTATTACAAAGATTTCATATTTTATTGGAAGGAACATAAAAAAACAAATTGTCTTGGCCTCCTGCCCTTCACCGTTGACTCAAACCTTTACGACATAATGTTTATGAATTCGCAATAAATAAATTTTTAGGTTACTTAAAACTCGATAACGGAAACTTTTTAGACTGTACGAAGTTTTTATAATTGATACTGGCTGACGCCCGAGACTAGGTCCGCGCTGAATTAAAAAAAAAAATTGTAGCCTATGTGTTCTTCCAAAAATGACAAATTTTAGCTAGATCCATGTAGCCGTTCTAGATACGTTCTATCAAACATCCATCTATTCATCCAAACATTCGCATTTATGGTATTAGTAAGATTAAGGAAAGATTGTGGAAGCCAATTCTAGTCTTCGTCCCCACTTGTTTTTCGTGTAATTTCTATATCAAAAATTCGGACTTCTAGCTTTATCAAGAACAAAGATATAAGGGTCTGAAATCTTTAAGTTGCTTCAAGAAAAGACGTCCTCGGCGAGTGCACTGCCTCGAATCTCCAGAATTCGTGAAATTTAAACAAAAAGTACACGAAGAATTTCTGTCTAAACAAGTACTTTGCAGTTAAATTTTAATGTTAAATCGTAAACTACATCTGTATCCCAATCCTTGTCATGAAAATTATGTTTGGATAAGCTGACAAGTGATAGTGAATTTTGGGAGATAAAACGGTATTCAACACAATCCTTTAAAATACTCAATATTACTTTGAAATGTCATTTAATTCCTTTTAGTGGAGTTAAAATCTAAAATCCAGAAACGAACCAATAATAATAAAATAAGGATTTCGACACATTATCCTGCTCAGGATCAATATATTTGCTGTCAACCGGAAGCAGCTTTCCACGCCTAAATGACAACATTATAAAATAAATAATTAGAATTTGACATAAAGGTACGTTTTCACTTCAATACTTACTTAATTTACTTTTCTCTCTAGGCGTGGGTTACTAAGAATAGAATCTCCGTTCAAAACATATTGTTATCTCTGTATTATCAATGATTACAGGCATTACTATATATCTTATACAGAGATTTTAGCTTCAGAAACCAACAGGTAATAGTTTAAAGTCTTTTTAAGTCATGAAAAGGTCTATTCTTGATATTTTTTAAAAAGCTAGCCTTTGCAATAGTAAATATAATTGTTTAATTACTTTTTTAAAAAATCATTTTATTTCGTCGTAAGTGGTTGGGATTTACAAGTATGTGGTTATCCTTTTCCAACTTTAGTGGAAACGTACCCTTACGACTGACTCGAGCGAACCTTTTATAATCTTTGATAAAGAAAATATCTGTTTTTAAACGAGTGTTAAAAATATTAATGCTGCGTAAATACAATTTCAATTTGGTTAATTAGGAAATTAAACTTTTATTTCTCTTATTCGTATCCAACCGATATCGAATTGAAAGGCGACCTACATTTTCGTATATGTTACGTATAATAAACATATTGTTTAATTTTTTAATACATTTTACAAGCATTATGACGTTCAAATGTTCCGTAATAACAGTACTGTGTTTGGATTTTGTAATAATGATTGTTATTCATTGAATGTGATCTCTGGTATTCCTAAAAATATTCGTACTTTTAAACAGTATTAGTTAGAATCCTTTGGCGCGAATGACGTGCTTTCGTTACAAAGTCCAGTGTCAGAATGAATAGTGAGGGGGCATAAACGTCGACATTTTAGTAAGACTAGTGTTGAGTCAATACACTGGCTCATTTTCTGATTTTCTTCCTAACAGTAGTAATGTAGAATTAATATGGTTAAAACCACATATAGTTTTTGGTGACTAATCTAGTAGAACAGCGTTTCTTAAAGTGTGCTTGAAGACTTTTTGGAGAGACAACATAAATAGGTACTAATCATAATCGAAAAAATACTTAAAATTATTAGTTAGAATTCTTTGGCGCGAATGACGTGCTTTCTAACAAAGTCAAGTGTCAAGAATGATTAGTGAGGGGACATAAACGTCGATATTTTAGTAAGGCTAGTGTTGAGTACACCGGCACAGTGTCGGATTTTCTTCGTAACAATAGTTAGGATGCGAACTGATCGGTGGATGCGAGAACAGAATCACGAATTCTACGGACTAGAATAATCAAACTTAGAATTTAGGGTTCATTCAATTACAGAGCTAAGAGCTGGACGTTTGGTGGTTTTGTTTTAGCAGATTATTTACGATAATAGTCGAATGTAAGATTCGAACCCACTTTCTCGTCTTATTAACTGTTTTTATACTTTATACCTTTTTGGAACTATAATATAATATTATCGAAGTAACCGCGTGAAAGTTAATTGGTAAAATGAGCTTGTAACTTAATACAGAATTTTAAAATGTTTTATAAAAAAGGACCATAGTGTGACTTCTTAAAAGAAATCTCGATTCTTTGTACAAGAAGTGGCTATTGCGGTCATCTTAAACATACAAATTAACAAGAGAATTAATGTCATCATTGGTTACTTATCCATAAAGCCAGCTACACACGTTAGATTTAACTATTGTGAGACTGTCCAGTTAAAAATGAAGGTGTGTACCGAGCTTAAAGACAGAATTACAATTAGAGATCGTTTTAGTAAAAACTGTGTCAACAAGTTGTTTAAACTACAATTATCTTGAATAAAACCAATAGTATTTTTATATTTTTTATATTACGCGACTAATATAACTGTATTTACTATTTGTTGTGTTTAACCAATATCGGGAGAGTCTTAAAAATTGTATCATTATATCGTTTAATGTAGGTTAAAGGTATTCTTTAAGTAAATACAACGATTCGAATTCGAATTTCGATTTTTTTTATCTGTGCGATCTCGGGTATTGCAAAAATGCCGCTGCGCCATATTCATTCGGTATTTTTAAAGTATGTAAGTAGATCAAAATACTACACATTTCCAAGTGAAGGTTATAAAGATATAGAGGTACAGTCATAAGCAAATATCTTGAAAATTATTTACTCCGTTAGACAATTGTACCAATTGACGAAACCACTATACAAGTCGTATTGGGAGTGGCAATATGATTTTGTTGCTATCGAAAATCCACGGTTAATATTCAAAATGCAGCTACGTCCAGATTTTTTTATTTAAGTTATATATTTCTGTCAAACTTTCTCGCACTGTATTCCTTTTTACTCATGTAATTTTCCTCTCACTGTACTTTCAATAAAAATTAATGCAAATATCTGGCCAGTATCGTGTATCGAGACAAATTAAAGATAAACATTTTAATCGAAGTTGAATGGAAATTTTAATGACGATTTATCTTATTTTTTTTCATATAAGGTTTATTGGGTCAACGGAAATGTGTACGAAATTCGCCAAGATCATGTTACAATGAAGAAGATTTAAATACCGAAATGCTTAAACTTTTTAATGTAAACTTTACAAAGCCATGATAAAAATGTCGTAAATTATAAGTTTTGATACTTCAAAACTTATAATTTACGACATTTTTATATATTTATATATTAATAACAGACATATTACTATATGTCTGTTATTAAACAAAACACTTGTCAATTAATGCTTTTGGCTAAGGCGTGATTACAAATGTTGTTAATTTTACGCATAGTAATTTTCAGATATCTTGGCAGCTATTAACTTCGAGCCGATGACCTTGGGCAGCCAAGATATTTGAAAAGAAATATACCCCTCATCATTTCTTTTTATTTAATTACAGTTATAATAAATAATCTTTGTGTTGCCATAGTTAAAAAATGAATAATTACAAAGTTCCATCGGATTATAATACAACAATATAATTAGTCATTTAGCTTACAATATATAGGATAGGTTAACGGACATAATTTAATTTAATCTGACATGAAAGCGAGAATAAGTGAAATTTAATTATGGACTCGTCAATATTTACACTCCGGGCGTCTGTTGTTATAACGTTGATTGTATTGTGTGTCAATTGTGCACTTTCAAATCGGTCTCGACCACTGACCTCTATAAACAGACTGGCTATAATCCATAGTATTTTGTGCCTATTTGATTTTTAGCATTTTGACGTTGATGGTAGCTTGTGGTGTGGATTCGAACTAATAATATAGATAGAATTAACAGTCACGTAACATCAACAGGCGCGTTTAAATCGGAACAAATCTAAAGCTGTCATTCCCAAGGAATAGCCTAAACATTTTTAGAAATCAGTGATGTTGACGTACGTACGCTGACGACAATGCCACCCAATATTGTTGACCTCTTGACCGATATCAATCAGAGGTAAAAAAAATCTAATAGCAAACAAAAAAATGTTCACACTATATATCGCAATAAGAGTAGGTGCAAGACTAACACTGAAATGAATAGTCCTAACATCAAAATAAGGGATTTTTAAACCTGTACACAATAACATGTGATTTTCATGTACCATACGTTTTCTAGTATAATATCATATCATTATTTAGTCATCATTAAATGTGTTAGAAGTTTGCAACTAGTTGACTTTTGTTTACTATACGGAAGTCATTAGTAATTTCGTAAGAGAAAAGTGGGAAATAGCAAGATTTTCATATCTCATGAGAATCGCACTTTACTTCCGTCCATTGTTGTATTTGCATTAAGCTGAGATTTATCATACTCCATCATAACAGATCCTCGTACTTTTAATATTGTAATTAAAACTATAATACACACCACGTAGTTTATTTTTAGTTCTTAAAAGGACATATTTTAATGTAGCCTAAAAAGCTGCGTACGGATTGAGCGCGGCAAATTGCACACTGGGTCGTGCAGCAACCGTGCGATGCACATAACTTTAGGTGAAGCGGAAAGGATTAGAAAGTCAGTTCTCTAGTACAGATAAAACATCGTGTTGAATAAAACCATAGTGCACACTAGACCATAAATTATGGTACTCACTCAAAGATGCAATGTGTAGCGGTGATGAGATGATCTCTGGCGACAACCGTTGCGCCGCAGATGACCTTGCCGTCCCTCTTAAGCGCGGCCAACCACGGTAGCTCGCCTGGGGATACCGCGCCGCCTCCCACCACACGAGCGCCACGCGCCACACCGCAAGCTGGACGAAAACATAAAGAATTACACATTAATAAAAAAAATAACGAACTAATAACATTTAATATCGGTTTTCCATTTTGGATGCAAAAGAACGGAAGCAAGAGGTCTTGTAAATCTTATATATAAAATTCTCATGTCACAATTTTCGTTCCCATACTCCTCCGAAACGGCTTGACCGATTCTCATGAAATTTTGTGAGCATATTGCGTAGGTCTGAGAATCGGCCTACATCTAATTTTAATCCCGAGCGGACGGAGTCGCGGGCGACAGCTAGTCATACTATAATATATTATTATAAATGCGAATGTTGTTTACATGGATGGATGTGTGTTTGTAGGTATCTCCGGAACGGCTGAACGTATCTCGATGAATTTTGGCATACATATAGAACATAATCTGGAAGAATACATAGGCTACTCCTTGTTTTTTCTTAATTCCGCGCGGACGGAGTCGCGAGCGATATCTAGTTGACAACCTATTTCTCAGCCTTATAAATCAATTTAATTAATACAATACCGCCATCGACAAACCTCTTTTGAAGATGTTAATATCACACTTACGTTGTATATGATTTATACAGTCTGCCTGAAAATATTCGCAATATTTCACGTAGCTATGTCAGTGAAGTGGGTTAAGTTGTGATTAACTGATAATGTTGTGAGTCACAGGAAACTGCATTATCTGAACTGTGCAAAAATGTTTACGTGCGTTGCATAACTGCCGTTTTGATATATGACAGTAGCTACGCGAGTTATTGCACGAATTAAATGCAGCATAAGCTATGCATTTTATAATGTAGACGTTAATTTATATAAGTATATTATGATCCATATTGTTAATCTTATTTTTCACACTATTTAAGAATTGAAAAAGTAAAATAAGTATAGATTTAAGGTGTTCTTCAAGTAAATTCGTTAGAAATAAAAAGAAGCTATTCTTTTTAATTATCTATGATAAAAATTCAAGACAAAACCTCTTAAAGAAGCTATTTATTGCTTACGAGTTTATCAAGTCACAATAAAAATTATTTGATAAAAAAATTAGTTTCTTATTATCGATGTATTTTGGACAGCCCTTAAGTAAGGACAAACAATGTCTGTTCGTTTTATCGTCGTTTTAAATCTCTTCGAACACAAAGGCAAACGGTGTTATAGAGAGCAAATACGGCGTCATATTTAATACCATGCAATTCTGAACAAACAGTTATCCCTCGTACAAAGTGTGGGTGGACATGTATGATAATTGTTATATATTCGTCATGATTTACTATCAACATGGCGAAATTTGGCAGCTTTTGAAGTGAAATAAGCATTTCGGGACTCGATTGTGCTTAATTAAATCATTGTGAGTTTGTCAAAATCAAGGAATATTTATTTTAGGACAAAATGAAATGAATTTTTGTAAAATGCATAGACACCACAGTTCATTCTTTTACAATTTGTAAATCTTTGGACGCCCTCCGTCTGATTTTTTTTTTTAATTTTGTTTTATAAAGTTTCACGTACAAATGTTTGTATGTCAAATGAATTTAATATTATTTATTACTTACTAATTGTATTTTTGATATAACCTATTAAATCGATTAATTAATGTGTACGGTCAGTATCGTTTTTTTAGAATAAAATTCAGACTAATGGCAACCCTTAATATGTCAGATCAATATGGAACAAAGTTCCGTTGGATTCGTTCGAAAAGTATTATAACATTTATGAAGACATTATAAAATTTATTGTTATAATCTGTTAACGAAAGCATCCGTTATTATTGATCTGTGGCAGACAGTGTTATAATCAATAATTTAAAATCATTCGTCATGCGATTCGGCGTAAATTAGCTACGTAATAAAAGACATCGTCACAATATCAAAAACTTGAATCATATATTTGAATTTATGTGTTAAGCGTATTTTTAATAAAATATCAATTGATATGGGAGATTTGTATTTTAAAAGATATTATCCCAAGTTCTAAACTGATGTATAATCATTGTCAACATTAGACAAACCGCGCATTTTTTGAAAAACTCGTAAACCTAAAAATACTTCTTAAAAACACTTTCTCGCAGATTTGTAGCTATCCATATAATAATTACATTTCATTCTATCATAAAATTTCCATAACATTACCGATGAAATTATGCAAAAATATAATAATTGTATTTCTTAATTTTTTTTTTAATTTTTTAGGGTTAGAGTTAGAGTCCGACTCGCACTTGGTCAGTTTTTTTATGAGTAATTTAAATAATTTTATTAATGATTGTAGAATAATTGAAAAATTCTTTAAAGTTCGATAAATAAAATATGCTTGAATAAGTGGTACATGATCGGTCATTATCGCTAAGGCATCTGGAACATGAACCTAATAATTGGCACTACAACTTTGACAGCGCACATTAACCTGATTTGTGGTTTATTGCGCAGTGTTGCCAGTGTTGCGAATGGAAATTTACAAAATTATCAAATGATTAAGTTACCATATGTTGCACTAATCGTTGGTTTCCGAAACCAAAATATATTTTACTAGTCTTACTAATATTATAAATGCAAATATTTAGATGGACGTATTGATGTTTGTTTGAAGGTTTGGAACGGCTCAACGGATTTTGATGAAATTTGGCACATATATAGTACATAGTCTGGAAGAACACATAGTTTTATTAAGTTTTATTTAAATTCTGCGCGGACGGAGTCCCGGATGACTACTAGTTAAACGTATCGTCGAAGATAATGACAAGGATGACGATATGTGTATATACTCGTAGATTTTTGCCTCAGAAACCAACGATAAGTTAGACATAAATGGTATGTACTATATGTTAAACTGTTCTTAAAAGCATGCTTTTAAAAGTTTTTGCAGTTTAACTTTGCACTTAAATAATTTGATTTAAATAATTACATGATCAAAAAAGTATTTATTGAAACTCACAAAGCTATTTCCGCTTAAAAAAAAACCTTTGAACTTAAAATAAATTAAACGCAATATGTTTAGCGTATTAAAAAGCACAATTTCACACTTACTTGTGGCCCACTGACATTCTTGATAAGGATTAAACTGTTATCCTTTGAGCCTGACGTTATTATTGAGAGAAAAAAAGAAAAATTCAGAAACAAATATATTTTAAATGTAAATTGCGCCCCTGCTGTTTGACTGGGCCGTATTGTAAATGTTTTTTTTTCGTATCACTAAATACACACATTCATGATAAAATCGATATAAAATTGTATTTTAAGTATTTCAAATGTCCCATATTATTTTGTCGTTACGCATTTAATATCGATATGCTTTGGATTTACAGTAACGTAATTTTAAAAGTTTGTTCTTTTTTAAAGTAAACCGTTGAACTTGAATGCTTTAAGCTGATAGTTTAACTTTAATTTTAATTATAACATACACCAGAATAACGTTGCTTACTAGTTTGAAGATGTACGAATCGTGGATATCCGAGACCAAAATCACCGTTTAAAACGTATTTTTAAGAGAGGAATAATACAATTTATAAAGAGATTATGGTGTCAGAAACCTAAGGTAACGACAGGTTACAGGCTTTTGCACTTCCGCGCTAATGCAGTCACGTTACATACGAAGCATATACTACAGTGGAAGAATTATTAAATTAGGTCAGTAGTTTAACAACATTTAAAAAAGAATTTTCCCTTGCACAAGAAATAAAGACATAATCATATGCTTCCTCACAAGTGTTTCGACGGCGGAAACCCATAGACAAACACGTCGATCGGAAATGAAAGAGCGGAATTGAATTCACTGACCTGCGCATGGCTGAGCGTACCTAAAGCTAATATACAAAAAAAAACTATGTATTAAAAATACTTTTAAAGAATTCTTCTTCTATAATAGTAAACAAAATCCTCGTAATAACCTAACCTCAAACTTTTATGCAACATATAATTTTAATGGTCAATATAAATTCTATGATATAATTTAAATGTCTGATTATATTTACTGGTCGTTTTCACTTTCTTATACAAATGACGTATTAATAAAATGTTCATATGAAAAAAATACTGCGCATAAGATTGTCCCCATTTACACTATTGTGATTCTGTAATGCCTTAAGTGCGTATACTCTCTAATATTGTAGTCTTATTTAACACATATTTTGTGATATAATACGAGGAACTAATTTGCCTAAGCTCACCAATTAAGTGGATATTAGAAATTAAAATAAAGTTTTCGGGTCAAATGTCTGAATGAAAGTAAAAGAAATGAATAATGCCATAGATTATTAATGGTTTAACGATCTTTAATTAAAATAAATAAAAAAGCGGTATTTTAATATTGTCCCTAAAAAAATAAATGAAAAACAAATGTAGCAAATACTTACCGAATTAATTTGACAAAAAGTAATGCGATGTCATAAATTACAAGTTGGATATTATTTTGACGCAACCATACCATACGCACAATATTTCCCGCGCTTTTTTGACACATCACATAAACACATACGATAAAAATAACCTATATTGTTGTAAAGGGTAGTGTACACTCACTTAAGGGCTTATAAATTATGTAAATTATTATGTTATGTGGTAAAGGTGTTGTAGACTCACTACAGGGCTTGCAGGCGCGCACCACAGCGACCGCGGTAAGGAGGCACAAAGCACGGAACATGTCTGTTGGAGTGACGGGGCTCTCTGGAGGCGGCGGGAGACGCCGGCGCAGCTATTATAGGCCGCGGGCGGCGCCTCTGCTGAGGCCTCGGGGCCAGGGCGACCGGACCAGGCCAAGTTCACGGATACGCGGCCACCGAGCGAATGACGATACGGGCCGTAGCTGCGTCACCCCACTCGCGCTCGCCGTGTGGTAGGATCGAAGGATTAGATAGTGACCTTGAAACCTACTCATCACGCTATCAATCAATTCTTTTTGCTAATTTACATTGCTAACTATTCAGCTATAGTCAAATAATTGACTATTTACAAGCCTGAAGAAAGAATTCTCTTTTGCGTTTCTCTTTTCTTGATGGATGTGATGCTCTATTGTTTATAATTTCACGCTTATCATACTAATGGTACAAAATCTACAATAAAACATTAATTCATGAAGGTATCGAGTAATATGTACCAAAATAACGGAACCACGACACCTCGAGACTTGCGAACCGCGACAAGTTTCGTCCGATACCCCACGCGGTACAATTAACGCCCTTATTCGGAGTTTGGAAAAAATTTGAACCCATTACCGCCTTCGGGTAGAGTTAATTAAATTCTTGGCATACTTTTTTCTTGTACCTTTAAATTGTTTTTTATGTTAGTGTCATTAAAATAGGGATGTTCTATTTTCTTTAATAAGCTTTTATATCTTTTAAAAAATATCAAATCTATTCCCGACGTTGCAGTGGCATTAATAGAATAAGCATGTATTCAAAGGAATATCGTCTATTGTGAAATCTAGAAGGTCTTAAATCTAGTATTATGGTGTAACACTAAAACATTTAGGTTTTACGTAAGTTTGTTGTGGCGTATATGCAACTTGCCAGTGACCCAGTTTCGCGTTATCGTCTCAAAAACATTCAACTTTCAAGAGAAATCAATATAAAATTGTTTTTTTTTTCTGAGTCTATTTTTTTAACACAAGTCACTTTCACTTACAGACGTAGAAGAAAGCATTATGTTAAATAAAAATGCATGAGCATTGTCAGATATTAAGAAAACAAGAATATAATTTAAATATTATAATAATTTATATGATTATTTTAAGAAAAAAAAAGATACAAAAAGTTGTTGCATTTTCCATTGTCATCATCATTACTGGCAGTAAACATTTAGATCGCATACTCCTCGCAAAAAAAAACAAAGTTACACAACACGCATAACGCCGGATGGAGCGAAGTTCTTGAAGACTCTTAAATTTAGCGAATCTTGCCCAACGCCTTACGCAATTCCAGGACCAACGAGATGCATTCGAAATTTTGCAATTTCACGTGTTTTTTCACCCGTATATTGTACTGACCTACCATAAAATTTTATAGAAAGCAAACATACTTGCGGAAAAAACCCAAACCTGTTTGGAACAATTTATCATGGTTTAATATTTAGGTCATATTTTTAACCTCAATGTTTAGAACATTTTTGATTCATTATATCGCTTTAAATGTCGTATGACATCCATAAATCGTAAAGACAAATGAGATTACTTTCAACTTTATATACATAGTACGTCACAGACTTCGTAGATTAGGCGTAAGTGCAATAAAAATTACCATCGACTATGTTTAAAAAAACATTTCTAACGAAAGAATTATATGAAAAGCATTTATCCTTAACTCTATTATGTTCAACCTAAATCAGTTGTAAAATACCGTTACGTAATTAATATAGAAATGCAATAATAAAAACAGTATATAAAAAACCAATAAGCGAGGTTAAAAGTCGTTAATAATCTGTGGCAACTTATTATAATACGATAAAAGCAAAGATTTCGTTTCCAATTAAACAGAAAGTACTCATGATTACTCATTAAATCCCCATGGTTGCCAAATTATCGAAACTAATACATATCGCTATCTCAGATTTTTTAGAGTGCTTGAAAAAGACGACGTTACGTTTTTATACTAATGTTGCCAACAATAGAAACTCACAAATCATATGTAACTAAATTCACGCTAAAAGATTTTATTTCTACATGTGAACCAATTTTGACTGCGTTGATCGGCGCCATTCTACTTTCTTAATTGTTTATGACGACAGCTATGATTTATTGCAATTACTTTTTTGATTTACATCCATCTTTTTTTTATTAATTAACAAATAATTAGTTTTTTTTTTATTTGAATTTGAAGTCAACGCTCCCCTTGATATTAACATACATTTATAAGCAGCGTTGATATTTTTAACGGTGGAAAAGAATCGAGAATAATATGGACAAGAAATTTGTAAAAGCACAGCATATGGTATATTATTCATGTCTCTGAAACCGAAACTGTTAAATATTACTATGTTTATTTATCTCTATCTTTTCTTTATGTCATATTGCGACATCTTTTCAAGTTAAGGCTGGCCTTAACAACAGCTGCACATGCTTTAAATGTACTCAAAATCATTCCAAAAAATATTTAATAAGCATTTCATATTTGATTATCTAACTCGATTCACTGAATTCACAGATTTCTATGGCTGAAGAACATTTGCAAATCATACTTTGGTATAATATTAATAATAATATCAGTCTTTTTAAATATCTAGGTGGTCCAAGGTCATCGGTGTGGTGCGCAGTGTCTTCCCCCCGCACCCCGCTACACCTAAAATTGTGTTCTGCGCAGCGAGTCGCGCGAAGTTAAGAGCAGTGAAGATATCTGAAAACGTTGATAACCTTGGTTGTTTTGTGGGCGTGTGTTGTGAAGTCAGTCACAATGTATCAGTTGAAGATCGGAGCAAGTGTGCCAAGGCGATGGACCGCCCGTATATTGATAACGATGAGCAGCCTTCTCCACTTTAACCACAACTAATGGAATAATAAACAATAAAATATGTTTTAACTTTAACAGCTGACATAAATTCAAATTATTTGTACTCCTAAAACATATTTGTTTAGTTAGTGTAGTTAGTTAATCTTTACTAACATTATAAGAGCTTTTAGATGGATGGATGGATGGATGTTTGTTTGAAGGTATATCCGGAACGACCCAACGGATCTCGCTGTAATTTGGCACAGATGTAGGACATAGTCTGGAAGAAGAGAACTAAATGAGTTTTTTAATACCGCACGGGCGGAGTCGCAGACGACAGCTAGCATATAATAAAGGAGTTATTAGGACGCCTTACTTTATTTTTGTACTTTTCCTATTTACTATTTAATTTGTCAAATTAAATTTACAACAATGCTTTTAAGACTAAAAATATTACGTAAATAATGTTATAAAACAAAACATTAAAATTCTAACGGTAAAACACATGATTGAATCAGTAACCATCGCGTGGCATCTCTGTTTAATCTTATTTAGGTTAGAAGTCATTATTATTTTATTGTCACAATTCAAAAAGACATAATGTTAACTCAGAGTACAATGTAAAATACATTACATTAAGTGATAACACGAAACATTGCATATTGTTTTATAAACTCGTATACTTAATATTTTGTCGCATACAATTCTTTGGATATCAACAATATATAAATATCAAAAGTCTTTTGAAACTTGTATTTACGTAAATCTCCGATACCTTTTATTTATTAATTGAATATTAACAACGCAATAATTAAACAACATTCCAAAGTACATTTATTTTATTTTTTGTAGTCTATTTATAAAAAATATATTTTTTTTGCAATCGGTACCAATTGTTGTAATCTCTTAACGTGGGTTTTGACTTTTCAGCACTATGTCACAAAAAATATGTTTTTTTTTTTAAAGATAATAGCATAGCAATGTGTTTCGACAGAAGAAACCGACGGTTTTTTTTAATGAATACAAAAAAATACACTGATTACGCAGAAGATTGATTAAATTTCTTAACATAATTCTATATTTTATCGACTACTAGCTGTCGCCCACGACTCTGTCTGCGGGATTAAAAAAATATATTAGTAGTTAGCCTATATGTTCTTCCAGACTGTGTTCTACATCTATGACAAATTTCAGCGATATCCGTGCAACCGTTCTGAAGATACCTTTTAACATCCATCCATCTAAACATTCGCATTTATAATATTAATAAGATTTTGTTTCATCCGTAACAGAACAAATAGTAGTGGCTACTTAATCTTGTTTATTTGAATATATTAAAACGGAATGCACCAGTGACACAGTATCGCGCCCCTGATTTGCTAACGTAGACCAGCATGGTACAGTTTGACCATGTGCGTAACCTACATAAATACAACGATTATACAACTAGAATAGTCTATGGTAGCCTATTTTATTTCGCATATTATCTAGTTCAATGTCAATTAAAATGTAACATAACATAAAAACGCAGTTACATTCAGTTTTCTGTTTGTGAAAATACAGTCCTGTCGTAAAACGTTGTAGTTACATTATAGAAGCGGCTTTGATGCTTTTGTCCATTAAAAAAAAACAATAAGTAGTCTATGTGTTCTTCGAGACTATGTCTATGCGTATGTCAAATATTATCGAGATCCGTTAAGCCGTTCTGGAGATACCTTCAAACAAACATACATCCATCTAAACATTCGCATTTATAATTAAGTAGTAAGTAAGGTTATCTCGTCCAAGTAAAGGATGAAAATGTGATCATTTATCAGACTTGCAATTAAAATTATCCCCAATCAGGGATGTCGTAAAAGTGGTATTGAATTGTAGGTCATGGGTATATTCTTAATATCGAACATCGAAGAGCAGTTTTACATATTAAGGCATGACATAAATACTCGCGACTTTTGACAATTAATTATGTTGAAAAAAAAAACTTTTAGGACAGTTTACAAGAAATGTTTTCACCGTATTCGAAAGTGATTTGGTTAATTGTTGAACATTTGCGGCCAGGTGAGGGTTTCGTGCGAGTCTAATTAATGACATTGACAAAAATACACGATACGAATATTTTCATGTGATATTTTGATTTCACTTTTTAAACATTTATGTCAGGTTTATAACAATTAGTATTCGATTTAGATCTTTTTAAAATCTTTTAGGTTTCTTTGATACAAATAATATTATTTTCTATTTTTTTTTCTTCTCATATTTATAAATTTAAATTAACTGATTTTATAGATATGATATTTATGGCACTCTTCGTTTAAAAGAGTTTGGTTTATAAAAATGAATTTAAGAAACAAAGTTATTTTATCTGTCCTTTTTGACAATCTCATTT